TTTTTTTTTGATTTATCATTCAAACTGTCCAAGTGTGGGTAATGTAGCATATGATAGAATACAGAAACTTTTTGATGCTTAGAGAATCAATTAGAAGAAAAGTGTCATATAACATCTGAAACATTAGTGTTGGTAAAATTTGTAATTTTTTGGTAACTGGCTTTTTTTATTATGTTTTCCTAGGCAAAGAAATTTATTTTCAGTTAAGCTTTGTTGCTTCTACGCAAATTGAATTCTTCTGCTCCTGTATTGTTTGCTGCTAAATCAATTTTACTTCAAAAAAGATTAACAGCAGATATAACCTTTTATGAATCTTGCCTGGTAACTGGGCTACATATCTGGTGCACATTCTTGGACATGAAGCGTTTCCTTGAAAAGTGCTGTTTGCATGATGGCATGATGACGATTATCTCAAACACCAGTCGCCCTTTTAGTGTTTTAAGAATCTGTTGTGCAAAATGACGTAAGTTTAAGACCACTATGTCTGGTCTTCCTGGTTTATCTGCTGCATTCTTTTTGTTCAGTGTAAACCCTTAAACATTTGTCGTTATCAACATTTTATTATAGTACTTTTATAGATGGCTTTTTGTTCTTCTGAAATTACAATGAACCTCAGTTGTAAACGACGAAGCACTTAACTTCCGATGCTATTTCTGGAACATAAAACTGTAGCAGTCTACTTGTGTTAACATCATTGTTCTTACATAATGTTAAAGGGCTTAAAAACCGGCTGCTAGAGTCGTCACAGCTAAAGACAACCCGCTGTGCTGTTAAACCTTAAGAAACATTAATTTTTTTTGTTTTAACTGTTCAGAAAAAAAGATTTATAATTACCCTTTTTGTTTGACTTATATTTAGTTTTTCTTTTGTGAATAAGAGAGACAGATTTCTAGTAAAAATAAGAAGCTAACAATTTATTTTTGCATTTAGATGGTTTAAAATAACCCTTAGTGGTTATCAGAGGTTTTAAAAAAACGTTTGCCCCTAAAGAACAAAAAAACTGTTTTTTATATGTTTTTGCTGGGTAAAGTTTAGTAGAACTTAATGTTTAGTAAATGAACAAAAACCTGGTTCAATTTCGTTTCAAAGTTGCTGTCGTACCGATGTTTATCTGTAAAATATTAGTGGAACGCAGATTCACTTATACAATCCTCTTCCGATGAAAAAATTGGGCTTCTATTCAAAAGAGGCAAGACGTTTCCGGAGTATTTTTTCCAACGTCACTGCTCAGCTGAACAGAGCAGGAATAGCAAAATTTGAAACTGGATGAAAATAGATAAAGTCTAGTTTTATTGCTCTGTCTCGCTAACTCTGACAAGTCAAAAAAGCGTCTTAA